TTTTTGGAGCAAAAATTAATATAAGACCCTGTCTTATTTTGGGGGGAACACAGTACAGTGGTGCCTCACTTAGTGATGTTAATCGGTGCAGCAAAAATAGCTGCTAAGCGATTTTAAAAAGCCCATAGAAACACATAAAAACGTGTTTAATGTGTTCCTATGGGCTTAAAAACTAACCTTATGCGAAAATCCTCCATTGCGGCGGCCATTTTCAGTGCCTCTAAAGCGAGGCAAAACAGCCAGCGGCCATTTTGTTTACCCGGTGGCCATTTTGGATCATCGCAAAGCGAAATTTTCCCATAGGGGCCATCGCAAAGCGATCGCTCTTGCGATGGCAAAAAGTCCATTGCAAAGCGATTTCATCACTATACAGAGTGATCGCTATGTGAGGCACCACTGTACGTATACCCTTGTTATCCTCTAACATAGCTCCTTGAGACTTCATCACCACTGCTCACAGCACATATCCAGAGCATTCATGTCAAGACAAATCCATTCTAAAGCTGAAACTGAAGACAGTCTTCCCAGGTTCTTAGCTATGGAACTTCTCTCCCCTGGCTAAGTCGAACAAATAAATACATTCTGTAAAACAGAAATGCATGGGAAGTAGTAATGGCTTGCTGGTGCCCAAGGGGGAGATAGTGGGTTATAGTAGTCTTCACTGGATCCATTTTATGGGACTTTGTAGAGCACCAAACACCTTGCCTTCTGCACTACTGTAACAGCTTGTGGAAGGAGTTCTCTTCTGTACTGTGCTGCAGTATCATCACATCAGGTGGCCAAATGATAGTATTATAGGTCACTCTTTATATCACTGACGTGACATAAAGAACCAGAGACATCCATCTAGTCCCTAAAAGCTGCTGAATCTGCCTTCAGTTTGTGTCCTGAACAACTTAGGTCAGGGAGATGCTAGAAAAGGAACTGCTGTTGGGCTAGTTATCTTTGACTGATCTCCAGACAACCAGCCCAGTAGTTATGCAGCATCTCTGCACAAGAACAATTATTGAAGCCAATGTATTGGGAAATCGGACAGGGCATAAGGAAATGCTCCAGCAGGACTTCCAGGGGTTGAAAGATGTGATGCAGGGAATGAACATGTGTTCAGATACTTGTGTGCTCCAAAGCATTGCAGAATTCATTATTATATTAAATGAATATATTAAAAATATTGAATATATTAAAAATATGCACAAAGAAGCAAAATAACACATTTGCTTCCAATCCCTACTTCTACCTTCTTCTACGCTTTCACATGTTGGGGAGGCACCCTGCAGTTCTTATTGAGGCAAAATGTTGCATGGGTGACTGGTCTTTCATCTCATGATAGGGGGCTGCCTGGGTAGCCCAAAGGGTTTTAATTATATCCTGGGCTTCCCCATCCTGAAAACATTAGAGAGAAATGGAAAGCATAGCTTCTCCCATCCCAGTGGGGAAAAAGTTAGGTGCTGATTGGCACAACCTTTCCTGATCAAGTCAGTATGTTATTACCTTCGTAGGATAGGCAACTGCTAGAAAAACAGATTTGTCAGTGTAGAATAGGTGTGTAATTTGATCCCGTTCGTGTGTCCCGTTCTCTCCCCCCCACTAATTTCATGGTGATATGACATTCATGAAATAGTGTATATATTCCATGCAATATTTGCAGCTTGGTACATCAATTCCAATCTTTACAGTATTCCTATTTGTAGTTATTGAATATATTTTGTGGCTGTCCGAACCTTTAACTAGTTTTTTCTTTCCCATCTACTTACAGGCAGCATCATCATGTATGGGGCACTCCTGCTATTTGAATCTGAGTTTGTCCACATAGTGGCCATTTCTTTCACAGCGTTGATCCTAACTGAGCTGTTGATGGTGGCGCTGACAATCCAGACATGGCACTGGCTCATGATAGTGGCAGAATTACTCAGCCTTTCCTGCTACATCGCTTCGTTGGTCTTCCTGCATGAGTTTATTGGTAACAGTCGTTTTTACTTAAAACATTCCCAGTCAAAGGTTTGCTAAGTCAAGGCCAGCTCTGTTTTGACACTTTAGCAAGGCACCTCAGGAAATGGATTCTGGGCAGCGTTAATAAGGCAGCTCATTGTCTGTTATATTTTTATGAAAAGTGAGGGGGAATGCTATTTGAATTTTCCATTCCAGTCTCCAAAATATTCCAAGTGCAAAACCATGAATGCTGATGGGTGGGGTAAGAGTTGAATTCAGGCTAGACTTAATGTTGAAAAAAGGTGTGATCCATATGGGTTGTCTGCAAATAATGAACAGCATGCACTACTCTATAAAATGATCTGACATATGCTCACTAACCTACTAGTAAAGGGTCTAAAATTTAGACCTAAATCAAGAGTGAGGAACCTCTTTCATCCTGAAGACCCAAATTCAACTTCACAGAGGGGTTTCAGTGTTTCATCCTGAAGACCCAAATTCAACTTCAGAGAGTGTCTTAGGGGTTTCAGTCTAATGTTAGATACAGCCAAAGGCAAGAAAGGTGAGACCATAAGTATCAGCACATATAATTTCAAGCTCTTATTACCAATAACTAAGCCTTAGACAGGAACTGCATGGTTCCTGCTGATAACTTGCTGAAAGCCCACCTGATTTACAGGTCCTGTTTTAATATAATAATTCACATTAAAACAGGCTGTGGAGCAGTGGCTAGACTGCCAGCTGGCCAATTCTGGGAGGCTCCTTGCTGTGACTGACAAAAATTTGAGCTGGCGCTGCTGCCACCCACCAGCAAGAACAACACCAACCAGCCAGTGCCAAGGTTTCTTGAAAGCATGGTGATGCCAGCAGAGGAAAAGGCTCCCAGTGAGTTCCTTAGCCTTGCAGTAGTTTTCTGCTGGTGGAGTGGCCAAAATGGGCATTCCAGAGACCTGCTGAGCAAACGCTGTGGTACTACAAGATCCTAAAGTATTCTCTTTCCCCCCGAAACAGTGACTATATGGCTGCTACAGAGTTGATGTTGGTAATTCCACTTTCTGGGCAGGGGGAGAAAAAGTAACCCATGTTCAAATCTGGTAATTGCTGTGCCACAGAATCTTTGCCACAACCATAGGAATGATCCATTGTCTGTTGCAAGCTCATTCCAAATCTCATATCTTGATGGCTTTCCATAAAAATCCCTGAACCATAGCTCACACACCTTCATGTTAATAGCTGCCAAAATAGGTAACCACCTACAAATGCTCCTTTCCCCCCCAGGAAATACCCTCCAGTTATATGTGCAACTGGACTCTTCTCCTGCCAAAATAGGTAACCACCTACAAATGCCCCTTTCCCCCCAGGAAATACCCTTCTTTCAAATGGACTCTTCTTTCAAATGAGTATTAAAATTTTACAAATGGGGATTAATACTCTTTTAAATGAATATTAAAAGCTACATGTGTGTGATTGCTATTTTTAATCATAGAAGAGACCTGTTTGCTGTTTTTAATTATGGAACAGATCTGCTGCTTCATTCTGCTGATATTTTCTTTTACAGATGTTTACTTCATTGCAACCTTATCATTCCTGTGGAAGGTGACAGTAATCACCCTGGTCAGCTGTCTTCCTCTCTATGTCTTGAAGTATCTGAGACGAAGGTTTTCTCCTCCAAGCTATTCAAAACTCACATCCTAGGTGGTTCCACTTGTGAAACAGAGACTCTCTTGTTTGGTTTTGCACCGTGCTCACAGAGAAAATAAGTACATGTTTGTCATAATAACAGCTACATCCGACGGTTGCATAAGGTTCATGCATAGGCTGGTAAATGTTGCTGAAAGACTAAAATAATATGGAATTAAGCAGAAACCCAGCAATCAAGTAAGCCAGCAGAACCAACATAAGTGATCCAGTTTTGTCACTTTATATTTATTAAACCAAGTTAAATGCATGTAACATGAAAGAGAAGCTGTCTTCCAGTGAGCAGTCAGCTTCTCTGGAAACTGCTAAGTAAGGTAGTGATAGGATTAAAAAAAAAGAAGAAATACCTTTTTTTTACATTTTCCCTCATACTTTTTTATATTACTGTTAATCTTTTTTTGTTGAGGTTGTAGTTATTTTGTACGTCTTCTGGGGAAATACTACCAAATGGGTGACATTCTGTTTAACAGGCAACTGTTGATATGTGATGCCATGGAGATTATTTTGATGACCTCTAGTGCAAACCAGAATTTGAAATTCCAACTAGTTTAATTTTTTTAAAATCAACTTTCATGAATATTGAGAACAATTCACCGTGATTCCCTCCTGCTGTAATATTGTCCAATTATTTTAAAGGGAATTTGTGTTGTTGGAAAAGGGAAAAAAATGTCTGTTTTAGAAAAATTCAGAGCTGCTGTTTTCATTGGAAGAGACTTTTTGTGGCATTTAAACTGGTGTCTTAGAGTGTCCCATGAAAAAGCAAACATGAGGTAGGTGTCCAGCTATTGGCTGTTGATGTGACATTGGGAGACTATTTGCAGCAAAGAATCAGAAGGCGGGAGCCTTATCACTTAGCCCTCAGCCCCTCTCCCGGAATGTTCTCCCCATGTTTCACCCACAGTAGACTCTGGGAATGAAAATAAGCTTGGCTATAAAAATAAAGACCACTTCCACCTGTTGATGCTTCTCTGCAAATGTCCCACCCCTGTATTACTAATGACTGAGAAATATACATTTGCTTAGGTGGATATATGCTCCACTCTAACATGCAGATTCCATTAGTGCAGATTAAATCAAGTTGATTCAATACAATATGCAGGATAATGAACCCTATTAAATGTCTCTGAACAATATTGTTAAGGGCCTGCCATTTCCTTTGGTTGTTTCCAAGGCTGCTGGATATATACAGTACGATAAGGTATCATGAGAATTAGGACTGGGAAAAGACACCAGGAAATGGCAAATATTACAGTACAGTACATATGATTGCCCCACATCGTGACTCAGAAGATGGAGCTTGGATGGCTGACTGCTGTTTCACGAAACAAATTTTCTTCAGTGTTTTGAAAGAAAACCTGCTGCTAATCGTCCTTTTTGTAACTATCTTTAACATTATTTCACGGAAACATTTACCCATATTATAAATCAGTGGACAAGAAAGGAAAGGTCATGGGATTCTTATGTTCTTGAAAATGTTTACTCTTAAATCCGCATGTTCATATTTAGTATTGGACAGTACCAATCAAACTGCAGAATCACATGTCTGGATCTCACCTTTGTCCCCATTTATCTGTCATTGTATATTATGGAAAACTCCTGAAAAGTTGCATTTGTGTGCCATAAGAGTGCTTTAAAGTCGATCACTGGAGGAAAAAGTAAGCACACAATTGGAAGATACATGATATGTATAAGTTGACCTGGGAGGAGTGGTTTTCAGTTGCAAACGATCTTGCCACCATCAAAAGAATCCTTGGCAAATAGTTTAAACAGAAAGGGAAGCTGGCTGATACACGTATCTTTGAAATGCCATTTTAGCAGCAGGAGCTCATCAACCCCAAGGCATCTCTTTTCCATATACTGTAAGTTCAAACAGTAGTTACCTCTTACATTTTTTAAAAAAACTCTAAAGCTCTAAAGGATAAAATGTAATCCACTGAAAAGTATTTCTCAAGATGAAATAGCTTTCAAAGGAAATTGAGACCTTAGATTTGCTGTATTTTTTAATGTATTTATTCATTTTTGCCCATTATTGGCTCTTGGTCTATGCCGCCTCTTCAAAATTATACTGTGGGCTGTTTTAAGCAGAGTATAGAAAATGAATTTTTAGATAGCACTTACAAAGAGAAATGTATCTGTAGACTTGAATGCGACATGTTCTTTTCATTTTTGTCCATCTGATTCAGTTGTATGGTTCAAGATCCTAAGAACATTGTGGTTGCAGAGCAGGAGTGCACTTTCACAACTTGAAAATGCTGAGCCATTTAAGCAAATTCAGATCCACAAATGTAAGAGTCTGGTAACACAGGAAACAAATTAAGTCCATTTGAAATCCATAGATGAGGGACTTAATCCCACTTTTCTGGATTG